GCAGGGCTGGGGGAGGGGGCAAGGTGGAAGTTTCGCCTAGGGCGCAAAACTTCCTTGCACTGGCCCTGGACCCAATGTATAGAGAACCCACTTCAGTGCCAGAGTGTGAAGGTCCCCAGTGGTGTAGGGTCATTCTTTGAAAAGCAGGTAGTGAGTAGAGAAAGGGCTGAATACACAGAACATCTAGCCTGGAACCTTCCTGACAGATGGATAAAAGGAAGAGAGATTGGATACAGAATCACAGTAGCAACAGTCAGGAGAACACCACACCAGTAAAGACAATCCAATATCTCCTTATGTACATGCCAGCCCATGAGACGACTTCTGTGGTGTCAGATTTAGTGTCCATCTCAGGAAAGGCAGGTGCCATATACCGCTTGACAGCACAGGCATTCAGTGATCAGTATCTGAACAGGAGGAAGGAGATAGATCCGAGGGCATGGCATTTTACTGCCTCTCAGCCTTTGCACCGTAATCTGTTGGGACCCATGCTCAGGATTTCCCCATGCTAAATGCTAATGCAATCCCAGCTAGGAGAATGTATTGGCACCTGTCTAATGAGGCACAGAGCGAAAGACCTGTCCACTCATTACCGTTAAAGATCCCACGGCACTTTTTTTGGGCCAGGGCAGAGGTATTCATGGAATCCCAGCCAAATTCTAACATGAGTGATTTATTATCTTTTGCCTCCTCAGCATCCCTCTGCTGTTTCAATGAAGGCAGATATTCATTTCCCCAGCTCTGTGTCAGTGACATTTCAGAGCTGAACTGAATGGCTGTGTCCTGCCCCAGAGGTGGCTGCATGTCAGTTAGGTGAGAGTTTTACTTTGCCTATAGATTGAAAAACAGTGTGGGTGCTTTGTGCATTAATCCAAGTTCTGCCAATCAAATGTGAAATATCTGGATAAACCCAGTTCACTGCATAACATTTCCTTTTGGCATCGGATGGCTTTGGCCCTGGCTTCTCGCACAACCAGATTACAACTGTATGCCCTGAATTAAAATGCAATGGATGAGTGTCCAACGCATCCCACATAGCAGAGTTCAACTCATTACAACGAAGGGTGAATATTTATAACATTGCCAAAGCCTACAATCTTGTTAAAGGTTTTTGCTTAGGCAGCTAAACGTGTCAGGTGATGGTGCCACTGCACCAAGCTCGTCTCAAATAATCCTCATCACCTGCACGGCAGATTAACGGATGGTGTTGACACAGAATTGCCAGTAGAGCTGTGAGCATTTAAGGGAGATAGAGAAGAAAACGTAAGAGAAAAATGGTTTGAGAGGCAGCGAGATCCAATGGGGATCCAGTGGCACTCAGGAGACCTGGGGTCTGTTCCCAGCTCTTTGACCATGAGCAAGTCTCTTCCTCTGTCTTTCTTGTGTATTTGGACTGTAAATTCTTCAGGGCAGGGAGTGTTTTACCATGTGTCCATATAGCACCCAACACAATGGGGCCAGGTTCTCAGCTGGGACCTATAGATGCTACGGTAATGAAAATAACTAGCAAGAACAGAAAACGTGCCACTCTCATATCCCACTCAATAAAGCGCCCAGTATGTTGTGCAGATAGCTTGGCTAAGCACAGAGTGGTACCCATCTGGCACACAGCTGGTTGATTTTGTATTCAGTTGCTAGCCAGCGGCAGTGACTCATGCACAAAAAGAAGAGCAAGACGAAAGCAGCTCCAGGCATGACTCGCCTGCAGTAGGGAGAAAGATTCCCTGAGCCACGTTACTCAGGGTCCTGCCCATGTATCTTAGCCCCTGACATGTCCTTTTTGCCCTTCCCCACAGATGGGCGACTGTGCTGGCTTGGCCTGGAGAGGTGCAGATCATATCATAGTCAGCATTGGGGGAGAGCCAACTGAATTGGAGTAGAACCAGTCTATGACTGTTTGAAACAGAGTGAATCCTGAGATGTTCTGAGGTTCAAACATTTTTTGGGGGGAAAAAACTTCCTTCCATTTCATGGTCTCTCCTGCACTGTGGTTCCAGCAGGCTATGGAGGCAGAAGGCACAAATAGTGCAAGGGCCTGATTCTCAAATCAGACCATCTCCGATTTAAGCTACCTTGGTGCTCCGTGTATTCTGGAGCTGTGCAAGGGGCCCTTTATCTGGCCCTGGAGCAGGGATGGTCCAAGAGAATTTCCAGTCACTCTGGAAGCAGAAATCAGGGAAAAGTTTATGAAGCAGCAAGTCTAGGGAGTTAAAAGTTAAGGATACAACCTTTGTAGAGTTTCACACTGAATCAACTGAGGATTAACTGGCACTAAGGTGTGAGCATCTTACACTGAAGAGAGTCTTCTCATATCTTAGTGAGCTGTTGGGGGGGCGGGGAAAGGACGTTTTCTCTTGATATTGTAACCATCACAGTGCTGTTCTCAGTTTGCGCTCCCTGGACATCCAGAAGGGAGCAGTCTGGGGCAGAAAACTCTCCAAAGCCACATGCCCAATCCAGACTGGCATCAAACAGAAGGTTTCCAAGGGGAACACAGTTCACCCTCAAGACCAAATTCAGCATTGATTCCAGCAGGCGAGAGCCCATTGACTTCAATTGTCCTGTGCCCAGGCTCAGTTTGGTCCCCCACCCATCCCTTTCTGCAACTCTATAGAACAAATCACTATTGCGCAACCTTGTCTTGCCCTCATCTCCCTGTGTTCCTGATTCCCAATCTTTAATTCATTGAACACCCTCATAGACATAAGGCCAGATTTTAAAATGCTCAGCACCTGGAATGGGAGCCCCATTTTCCCAAGAGAACTCCACTTCCATTTACAGGCACCTAACTAAGGACCAGATTTTCCAGAGTTCTCAGCACCCAGCATCTCCCCTTGGGACACTTTTAGGCTCAGTACCCACCATGCTCTCTTCTATTTCATACTCATCTTCATACAAGCATAGACAAACTGGTCCCCCATACTCACATCTGTCCATCCTGCCTGTCCCCCTCCCCTTAGCAAGAGTGTCACACTGAGAATGAAATCCTGACAAACTGGATTTCCAATGACATTTTTTCCATGAATAATTTTAAATAAGTGATCACAAAACAGGTGGTTTTTTTGGGACCCACACTGCCTGATAGGACAATCTCCC